TTAGATAGATAGATAGATAGATAGATAGATAGATAGATAAAATAAATTGCTTATATTATAGAGAGGAATGAATAAAAAACCTGAAAGGATGAAATTTACGAAAATACTGGATAAGGAATGTTAACTAAACTAGAAGTTTGAAAATGAGATAGATAGATAGATAGATAGATAGATAGATAGAAATAGATAGATAGATAGATAGAACGAGAATAGATAGATAAAATGAGAATAGATAGATAGATAGAATGAGAATAAGAAACAAAGAAAGAATGAGTATTAGATATAAACATAATTAGACAGACAGACAGACAGACAGATAGATAGATAGATAGATAGATAGATAGATAGATCTTATTCTCTTCGGAGCATATTATCGCGATTGAGATAGATAGATAGATAGATAGATAGATAGATAGATAGATAGATAGATAGATATCGACATGTCTGATATACAGATTCAAAAGGATTGAGATGAATTTGTATAGATAGATATGAAGAGAATGAGATAGATAGATAAATAAATAAATAGATAGGTAGATAGATATGAATAGGCTGAGATAGATAGATAGATAGATAGATAGATAGATAGATAGATAGATAGATAGATAGATAGACCTTATTCTCTTCAGTGTATATTATCGTGATTGAGACAGATAGAAAAATAGATATGAACATGTCTGATATATAGATTCCAAGGGATTAAAACAGATTTTTATAGATAGATATGAAGAGAATGAGACCGATAGATAGATAGAGAGAGAGAAAGAGAAAGAGAGAAAGAGAGATATGAAATATACTGCCAATATATTTGGGAGGATTGAATAAAAAATCGAAAGGAAGAAATTTATGAAAATACTGGACAAGGAATGCTAAAGCCTGTAACTAAAATAAAAGAAGATAGATAGATAGATAGATAGATAGATAGATAGATAGATATGAATAGGCTGAGATAGATGTATTGATTGAGAAAGATGGAAAACTATATCGACTGAGATAGATGGATATATCGATTGAGAAAGATATATAGATATATATAAGAATAATATATATATATATATATATATATATATATATATATATATATATATATATATATATCCATTGAGATGGATAGATATACCAATTGAAATAGATAGATCAATCGAGATGGATATGTCGATTGAGGAAGATAGATTCATTGACAAAGTTCATTATATATATATATATATATATATATATATATATATATATATATATATATATATAAAATTGAAATAGATAGATACATAGATATATCGATTGAGCTACATAAATATACAGATTGTGAATTGTAGAAATATCGGTGGAGATAGATGGATAGATAGATATATCGATTGGTAAAGATAGATAGACGGATATATCGAGTAAAATAGAAAGATTGATCGACATATCGATTCATATAGGTAGATAGATCGTTTGAGAAAAACACATAAATATATCGATTGGGAAAGTTAGATATATTGATTCAGCAAGATAGATGGATATATCAATTGAGATATATGCAGCAATTAAGATAGATAGAGCGATAGATCAAGTGAGATATATCGAGATATCTATTTAGAAAAATAGATTGATTGAGTGTAATCTCCTGTTTGTCTGTATATATATTTATATATAAAAAAATATATATATATATATATATATATATATATATATATATATATATATATATATTTATAAATAGCATCATATGGTAAGGATTGTATATATATATATATTATATATATATATATCATATGGATTTAGTAAGTGTCGCTTATTTTGGGCCAAAGGCAGACAGTATCTACCATATAGTGTGGTTAAAATCCTTTGTCGTCTACAATTAATTTTTCGTATTTGTAAAAGTCATTCATTAAAATTAATCGACACAAAATATCTGTTGCATGGATATGACGATAAAGGGAAAAAATATTAACAGACATAGTTTTTTGACAAAACAAAAATATGACCAGAAAAAACAAAAGTTGTCGGCATTAAATGGCCCATTGAGGGTTATATACCGTAAAAGAAACCAAACCCCCAAAATTGACAACATATTGTAGTCTAGTAACATATCCAATTTTATCTCAGATTATTTCATATTTAAAAAAAAAAAAAAAAAAACTGTATAAAAACGAAGTCAACTGTACGGACTTATTTCAATGTGAATCTACCAGGAAGACGGGTCGTGCGTTCCAGTGATAATGATAATGTATTGTAGAAATGGCCATATCGTTCTCCTGAAAAGACACCTTATGAATTTTATCAACAGGACTATGTGAAGGGCAGGTCTATATCCCGCGTTTCGTACAGGCCTAGAGGAACATAAGCAGAGAATCACTGAGGCGTTGGAGAATGTTACGGAAAGCATGCTACAACGTGTTCGCCAGGAGCTGAACTACCGACCTGACGGGTGTGGTGTCACAGGTTTTGAGCCTATGGAAAATTTGTGAGGCGTTGTGAAATTGCTTGAAATATCCTTGCTAGAATATTTGCTAAATAAATACATTATTGTTCAACATGAAACATACCTAATTTTCCTTTGCGTGCGATATGTAGGTAATAAGATAATCACGTTTTAATTGATGTCAACTTTTGGGGGAATACCGCGTATATTAATTATGTGACGCCAATCAAGGCGATAAATTATGATAAAAGAACAGACTTTAAAGAGAAAGAAGACCACACGAACAAACACGCACACACGTGCGCAGACACACACAAACACTCACACACGCACACACTAACACACACACACACACACACACACATATATATATATATATATATATACACGTTTCATTAAATAATATAGACAAGTGTTGTCTATTTATTTTATGTAAAATTTTTTCGTATCTTCTGATAAGTTTGATAACATTATCATTAAACGAAGAAAGAAATTCACAATATTTATCCATTATTTTTAATATAATCTAAGCTTTCGGCTTACTTAAGCCATTATCAAAGATATAAATCACAAACATATTAAACAATATACGGACACGACAGTGATGATAGTCTGTCATTGTTTACATAGTGGATCACTAAGCAACGATAAACACGCGCATATAAGACGCTAGAAGCGAAAATCGCACCGCATCTCATGACGTCACACATGACTACACGAGAGTGAATTGTAGAATGAAATAAGGAAAGCCGTTGGTATAAACCAATGGCTTCTGTTACCAATTATAGAAATTATAGACATTTAAGAATATTTGTAGACATGCCATAATTGATTTTGTTTAGGTTAAACAACCTAAACAAAATCAATTATGGCATGTCTACAAATATTCAACGAATGAACAAATGAAACGTGTATAAATGAAAATATGCTGCCTAAATACACACAATATATATATATATATATATATATATAAATATAAAGAAAGAGATGTAAGATATATAATCCTGTGTTCTTATTGACATGTTTTATTTTTACAAAACAGTGCTCAATATAAATTTATATATATATATATATATATATATATATATATATATATATATATATATATATATATATAAAAAAGGATTAAACACTAATATTCATGGTCATAATTTATTCCATTGGAATTGTAAATACAATCCAATTCATCAGAGCCACAAATGTGTATATTTACCACGAATATTATCAATATATATATATATATATATATATATATATATATATATATTGTGTATTGTTATTAATTTATATTTATATATATGTTGTGTATTATTACTGTTATTTATATCTATTGTGTATTTTTATTATCTATATATATATTGTGTATTATTAAATAATAAATATATATATATATATTGTGAATTTAGGCAGCAATCCTTCATTTATACATGTTTTATTAAAGACGACAATGTACTACAATTAAGCTTTTATTCAATTTTGCTGGTGTTCGAAATAGTGTTTTCGTTTTGGGACAAAGAGTACGTAGAACCTGTACAAATGTTCCATAACTCCAAGCGCTTTCAACTATAATTTTCGCCATTATAAAGGATGATTTAAGTTTTGCTTTGTGATTAGAGTATTGGTTGTGTGTATGGTTTTATAGGGTGTTTTATTTTCCGAACGCAGCACACGTGTTCGAACACAAGAAAATTAATTAAAAGCTTAATCACAGTACCTTTAATGAAATATATATATATATATATATATATATATATATATATATATATATATATATATATATATATGGTTGGATAGATGTGAGTTTGTGACCCTGGGTTTCACGCTTTAGCGATCCTCGTTTGTCTGACGATCGCTAAAGCGTGAAACCCAGGGTCACAAAACTCACATCTAACCAACCAAATATGTTAGCTCTATCTCTGATATTGAGCGCTTTCTAATAAGTACCGCGCCTATAATATATAAATAATTATACATATATATATTTATTTATATTTATATACACTTTCACACACACACACACACACACACACACACACACACACACACACACATATATATATATATATATATATATATATATATATAGTTTATGAAAAAACTTGGTAATCCGTATGGGTAAACCTAAGTAGGATAAAATCCAGAGAGCTCAATGTAAATACAGAGCAAATAATTTAAATAAAAACAGACCACTTTAAGGTTTCATGTAATAAATTATTTCAACACAGCCCTTTTATAGGACTGCGTATCATCAGGCTTTACTTCCAAACAAAAAATGAAAAGAAAATTTACACATTTCTGACGGGCCGTATTAAACATATCTAAATTAATGAAGTGAGGAAGTGAGGGGGGAGAGAGAAGACATGAGTGAGTTGGCAGATATTGACACATTTAAAAGGTTAACTTAACGGAAGTTATATATTGATATCGAAAGGGTAGAGAAGAAAAAACCCATATATATATATATATATATATAGTTTTATTTGATCAGAAGTAGCTGTTTGAGTTTATTGTAAATGTCTTTTTTTCTTTTATTAAGGGTTTTTAATTTGTCATTAGCCAATTCAATTTGCCATTTCACAAATCTACATTTAAATTCCCAACTGTTGTTATTCTGGTAAGCTGCCTTGATCATGTAGTTTAAATTTCGTATATTTCGACAGTATATATTTTCATTTAAACATGCTTGATTAAACAATTTAGACATGTGTTTTGTTATAAAAGATATTACTGAAAATAACCTAACACAACATATCTAAATATACGGAACGTAAATTACATCATCTACCAAAATACCAGAATATCAACACTTGGAAATTTAAATTTCGCCTTATGAAAAGGCAAATTGAATTAGCTAATGACAAATTAAACTCCTTTAATAAAAACAAAACGCACACACGCACGCGCACACACAAATACACACTTATATATATTTCCACACGTAAATATATAAACATATATATGAATTGCTCAAAGTGTTATAAAAAGAATGGTCGATATTACATAACAGGGCTAAAATGTATATATATATATATATATATATATATATATATATATATATATATATATATATATATTCAGTTGTATGGATATGAGTTTCACGATTTAGCAATCATGTTTGTCTGATAATTGCAAAAGCATGAAACCCAGGGTTACAAACTCTTATCCATACAAGTGAACATGTTAGGTTTATCACTGATATTGATCGCCTTCCAATAATTACACGCACACACACACACACACACACACACACACACACACACACATATATATATATATATATATATATATATATATATATATATATATATATATAATATTATAAATTAATTGATTTAAAATATGTTTTTTTTACACAGTTCCAACCATGTAAAAAAAAAAAAAAAACATATTTTAAATCAATTAATTTATAATATTAATGCTTTCTGTTGTAAATTTACATTGAGCACTATTTTGTAAAAATAAAAATATCTATAAGAACAACGGATTTTATATCTTTGTCCTTTTTTATATATATATATATATATATATATATATATATAT